CTCCTTTTGATCACTGATGCAATAAGTGATGTAATATTGCTTCATTTCCTTTCACTGAGCCTCCCTTGAAACTGTTTGGAGTGATGTGATCCACCTTTTTGGTCTTAGTGAGGACTCGAGCAGCAGCGTTCTGAATCTGCTGCAGCTGTCTGATGGATTTCTTAGGGAGCCTGTAAAGACACTGTTACAGTAGTCGAGTCGACTGAAGAAAAATGCATGGATAAGTTTTTCCAGGTCCTGCTGAGATGTACAGTAACTCTTCTAATCCTTATCCAACGAAGGTTCAAGTCAAGAGGAACTGAACTTGGCCTCTTCTAATCCTTGATAAAGTCTTCAGGCTACAGTATGCTGACTTTGTAATTGTCTTAATGTGGCTGCTTAAATTCAAGTCTGAGTCCATGACTACACTGAGATTTCTGGCTGGATTTGTGGTTCTTAACAGACTGAAGCTGAACACTGGCACCAAAAACAATTAACTTCAGTTTTACTTTTGTTTAATTGAAGAAAATTCTGGCACATCCAATCGTTTGCTTAATACAGTTACTCAGCACTTGTATGGGATCATAGTCCCCTGGTGAAATGATTATATAACTCTGTGTGTCATCTGCATAATCTGAGCCAGTGGAAGCATGTAAATGTTAAACAGAAGAGGCCCCAGAATGGAGAGTGTGCAGGCTGCTGAGATGCTGAGTAACTTACTTTGCAAGGCTGCAACATCTAACGCACGTCTGCCGTGTATTATCCATGCATTGGAAAGTTATGTTAAATTTTGCTATCGGATTTAGCAGTGAGGAAATACTCCTGAGTTTAACCCACAATCACTATCATGCACCTTAGAGACTTTGCCTTGGAGTGATTTTCGATTTTTTGTGACATTAATTTCAGGGAATTTCCGATTTTTCTTTACACTTCTGACCCTGGCTCCCTAGTTTTGGACATGTAAAATCCATCCATCCATCCATCGTCAACCGCTTATCCTGCGTACAGGGTCGCGGGGGCCTGGCATCGGGCGAAAGGCGCCAGTGTAATTAACAACCTAGATATATAATGTAAGTCCAGTGACTGTAACCGGACAGCCAACCTGGCTCTCATTCTCCGGCGCTGGCAGTAACTCAGGCTGCAGAATGAACGACAGACTCTGAGGAGGACCCATGTGAGCGCTGTAAGAGTCCAAGACTATTCACGCATGCTCCCTCAGACAACCCGTTGCTCGATACAACGTTAGGTCAAATGAGTGAAATGTTCTTTTGAATGACGCAACACTAGGGCCAAATTGCTGGATTCAGTATTTACAGACCACACTGCTCCCCGAAGGAATTCTACTTAATTTCCCATGAAGTTCCTGTTCGTGACGCACAACATTTGTTAGAGGAGCAATTTTCCTTCCTCCCCTCCCGCTTCTCTCTCACGTTCTGTAAAATATGCTTGTAAGCTATTCACCATAAACTGATTATAAAGAGCTATTCACACAGCTGGATCCATGGGAATCCCTGGTTATTCTCCAGAGGTCCTGATGACAACAGCAGCTCTTTTGCTGACACTGTGTGTTTGTGAAGCCTGAGTTCTCTGAGCTGGTCAGAGCATATTTTTCACAAAGAGCAGTTATTCAGAGAACATGCACTGAAAAGAATCATAGAGCCATTTAGTCATGTCAACTTACTTCTTCTTTTTAACTCAAATAGCTCTGACAAGTTTTGGATTTTGAACTCAACTGTATGAGTTTTAGAAAGTTAAACTTCCATTAATTCATTGTGCTGACTATTTGACACTTTTGTGGTGTTGATTGAACTTACGTATGTAAGTTATCAGTTGAAACAAAAGGCGAGAGTATGAGGATTGTCTAGGTGCTGCGCCTTTTGAGTTTGAGAAAAACATATACATAATCAACTAATTATTAGGGTTTAGCGAGATACAGATACAGATACTTTCTATGAGTATCATCAGAGTAAAATGTGTCAATATCTGTTTTGTTATAAACTATAAATATATGAATATAAAAAAAATCAATTACTATTCTCTGAAGCTCAATTCTGAGGTTGTTCTGTAAATGGTTTTCTAATAAATATAGCAAGTTCTGATAGAAATTTCAGGCTTAAATAACTTCCAGTTAATACCACCCACTTATAGAATAAGCTCCGCCCATTCTGAGTACAGATACAGAAGATTTGGTGTTCTTGCTCACCCCTGCTAATTATACACTGCAGATAAGTCATATATTCAAATTCCAACCAAAATATAGACACTTCTGTGGCAAACAAGACTAGTTCACCGGTGGAAAAGGTTCGAGACAACGGCCTTAAGGCCCTTTCAGAAAGGAGGTGACATCTGCTGACATCTGTTGACATCTGTTCTCGGTTTATTTACTCCTTTACTCCATCTGCATTTTTTGGACATGTGATATGGTCAATCTAAATATGTGAAAACATTTAGGATAATTTAATTATAGCCGAGCGAGATGGGCTACATCTAACGAAGTGTCCTTAAGCTCTCCTCCCTAAATGTCATTTCAGCTGTTACCACAACTAATTTAAGAGAACACCAGTGAGAGCTGTGGCCCAGGGCCTCAGTGTGGGTGGAAAGACCGCATTGTTCTGAGAGAATATAAGAGAGACGAGGGGGAGGAGGAGGGAGGAGGAGGGGGTGTGCGGTAGGGAGGAGGGAATGTGCAGTGGGCAAACAGCAGTATTGGCTTTGTATTCCTCCTTGGAGGTTCTGTCTCACCAGCCTGAATGTATCCTGTCCTCTTCTCTGAATGATTGCTCTTTGTGGTTATTGGACCTTGTGATGGTTGCTCACAGAAATGTGCTTCCAAACACACAGTGTCAGCAAAAGAGCTGCTGTTGTCACGAGGAGCTCTCAGAGACTCTATTCAATTGGCTTTATTGGCATGAATGTCAAAGAACAATTTTGCCAAAGCTTAAAACAAAAGAACAATTCATTTCATGTAATTCATTAAATAAAAAAAAAAAACAGTCAAAGTGTGTTTTTATATATAAAATATATATACGTATATTAAACAGGCTCCCAGTCTGTTGACTCCAGGCAGTCCTGAAGAGGATCTGTAGCTGCTGTAGTCCCGATTAGTTTAGCCCCCACAGATTTCCATAACCATTTAGCTCTTTTATATGTTTGGTGCCAAGATGACTGGACTTCCGGGCTTAAATAATAAAGTGCTGCATGGGTGTAGAAGATTCAAAAGATTAAAAACTAAACTGAAAAAAACTATTGAATCAGAAACACTAACTATTTATTCAGAACAGCAGTAAATACTGTAATACAGAGTAGAAAATTATTTGCATTAGAAACAAAGAGCAAAGGGGGGGGGGGGGGGGGGGGGGCTGTATGCATCTTTAACCTTAGCATACAGCAGGTCACTGATGATACAATGATACAACCCCATCTGACAGCTTCAAAGATTCATTTAACTGAATCAATCACTTCCATGGAGACAACTGAAACTTTCCTGACTGGATCATTAAGAGCAGCTGGTTTAACATCAACATGCGAAAGACTGGGATGTGCCAAAGCCAACTCTGCTTTCCGATGATGCCTTTCATGGCAATAATTACAAACTTGGCAAAACCTACCAAATGCAGACCATGATTTATCTTTGCAGACTGAGACCAACAAAAACAGTGGTGTGACCAACAGCTCTAGGAGTCGCATTATCTGAAACACAGTTTATCCCAAATAGCTTCAGGGAAATTTCCTACTTCCTGCTCAGCTATGAGCAGCAACATCTAGTAGATTACACTCTTTAAATTGCTCTGGTACCATTAATGTTCTGTGTTAAGGATCACACAGAAGTGTGAGAACCTCCCACGCAGAACACAACCTGTTGAAATGCTTGGTTTAGTCCCTTGCAACATGTGACTGCTTTTCACACTTCCTCCAAGACCTGAAACGTTGCCTTGAAAGCTTTTTTGGCGACCCATTCAAAAAGGGAGAAAAGAACCTCTGAGTCTGTCTCATCACACTTTGGTACATTTTCTCACTATGTGAAACAGATGCTGCAGATCTGAACACTCAGTCTCAGCATCACAGCTGTAACTTAAATTTTCCTTTCCAATTTTATTTCTTTCCATTTGCAATACAGCAGAAGTTCTTTTTGCTGCTCAGAGGTTAAAGCTGCTGCTGGCGAAGCCACAGGCTAAGCACTCACTTTGATTTAATTGTTGCTGGCAAAACAAAACTTTCCATGAAAGCAGCTCTCAGAAAACCCTAAATGTCCTCCTTTAAGCGTTTCTCTCCCACATCAACATCATGATGATCAATGAGGTTCAAACGTGTGTCTCTTTTTCAAAAGCTCCACAAAAGCTCCACAGACTGAATCAGTGTTTTTCTCGTTCTTTAATTACTTAACCAAGCCGGAAAAACAAAGCTGTGGTCTGCGTCAGGCTTCATCCACCCTGAGGAAATGACCCCTGCTCCTCCCTGCTCCTCCTCCGTTAACCCTACTATGGGTTGTGTTGCCAGCGGAACCGGCGCACTGGACTGTCAGTGGTCGTTCCCTCCGGCTGGATGAAGTCTGAAGCTCCTGATTTTACACTTGCACTTAAAACCATCAGAGCAAGAAAGGCAACTGCACAAACAGCGAACCCCCTCGAGTCCAGGGATGTGCCCACTGCTCTAGCAAATCTAGCAAATAATACTAAATGTTTTAATAAGTAAATTAAGCAAAGTATGTGTGAGTGGGGTTTATGTGTGTAGAAGTGTCGGCAGGGCAGGATCATCAAGCAGGTCTCCTTTATAGCCACCTGAGCGCCGCCTGCTCAGGTGTGTTGCATCTCAGACCAGGTATCAGCTCCACCCACCAACTACCTGGATTAGGTTTAGGACCTTTTAGACCTTCTTGAGTTTTTCCTATCAAGCTGCTTTGCACTTCTCAGGGAAATGTTGTACTTTTTACTGCGTCACATCTATCCGACATCTTTAGTTAGTAGATGTTACACACAAAACATAAAGTAACACAGGATACATCAATTCTACAAGTACAAATACATATTATTACAATGGTTTATTAAGAATCCTGTTTTTCAAAACAAACAGTTATCACCAAATATGGAGCATTCAGTATAACTGGGAAAATAAAGAAAGTAAGAGTTAATCATATGTTGATCACAGGCACATAAAAGATTCCTAAAATTACGCATCAAAACAAACAAGCAGCAGATAACACATGCAGTATCGATATACAGTACAAAATTGCACACAATGCGTGTATCATGGGGTGGTGATGGCGCAGTGCATGTGACACATGAGATTCCCACTGTGACGCGTCCACCAGTGTGTCCCTGAGCAAGACTAGTTGCCCCAGAGCCGTGCGACCTCTATACAGCAGTTGTCACTTTGGATAAAAGCGTCAGCTGAACGTAAGAGAAACGACTAATTACAACGTAGGAATGTGCAGTGAAGAAAGTAAGAGTTGATCTTAGCTTAATTTAACAAACTTCCAAAGACGGTCTGCAGGATGTGGAGGTCACACCATGGCGCTAAAGGACTAGACAGACCCTAAAACACTTAGACAGATGATCTTAACATATGTATTTGAACAATAATAAGGATACATAGAAAACAGTAATTAAAAGCAGGTGTCAGTAAGGCAAGTTTTAATACTGTTTTGTTATCATATGATGCACAAAATACTGCTTCAACAGCTAGTTATATGAGCAGAATGTAAAAGTAAACCGGCTTTATACATTAAAGGTCCGGGAGAACAGTTTAAGAGATTACTTTTCCCAAAACAGTCATAATATTCCGGTTACTAATCCAAGTAACGCTGCGTCGTTATTGAACGTACTGACCTTGACGTGAATGCGCGACTGCGCGGCAGCTCAGTGGCCCTGGACCTTATGTTGTTCAAGACAGCTGTTAGCTTAAAAGCTAAATGAATAAATCAGAACGAGGGAGAGAGGTGTTCTGTTCACAGATGTAAGTATGGCCATTATTGTGTCACAGTCAAAGATGAAAGACTATGTGCCAATGCACTGACAATTCACCTATTTTGTCATTTAGGTAGGGGAACATGTTGAGCGTCAAGTAACAAATTATATAAATATTTACTTCTGCTTCTTCCCCACATTATTAAACAATGAACACATCAGTGAGTCACATCGTTGCACTGGGTGTTCCTTTATATATCTACACCCAATTTCCTTTGTCCAGCTGACTCAAAGACATCCGTCTTAATCTTGTTTTGATATTTCTTGACCACATTTGTTAACGTCTCCACAGTTTCCCGGTTCCACTTGATCCCTGTGTGCCAACAGAAGAAGAAACCTGTTAAAACTTCATGTAGTTTTGCAGCGCTGTAAAAATGAGGAACTAAAGTAGAAGCACTGAAATATGATGGTTGATGACAGGAGACATTTTGCATTACAGCATAGGTGTCATTTACACTGGGGGACGCTGGGGACATGTCCCCATCACCTTTTGAAAGCATTTGTTAAAAATGTTCTGAAAATACCAAAAAAGCTGCACTGTCCAAAAAAAGGACCTTAAGCCGCTTTATATTCTGTTCTATTTTTATATCTATCAATTGTTACCTGTCATCTGAATTTTTTGTTTCCCTTTATTTAAATAAAGACATTTCCACCACAAATTGGAGCAGAAAATGTCTCCACTGATCTCCCTGTCCTCTGTAACAGGCTCCCAGACCAACCAGTAAGAGTCACTGGTGCATTGACAAAGACTTCCAGGAGGGAACACTGACTATTGTACTGAGCAAACATAAAGCAGGCTCCAAGGATCCGGCACTGTGTGGTGTTAAAAGAGTGTTTCCTCTGCAGCACATCTTATATTTCTCATTCTGGTTAGCCATTTGTTTACATAGTTAGCAGCATGCTTTAATGTCATGCCCTGATCTAGCTGTGCCACCCAACCACGTCTAATGTTTTCCCATAATGTTGTGATTGTGTGTGAGCTCTACCCACATGACAGTCATTCCACAATAAAACCGCAGCTCTGCATTTCGTCACCAGACCATCTCGTCATTTCTAGTGGTACACTCGCTGCGGGCTCATGGATTTAAGACACATATTTTTTGTGATTTTGATCTTGAAGTTTATCCTTACATCCTGTTTTGTTTCCCTCGCCTTTTCTTTTTGCCCCGTCTTCACCTTCCTTCATGCTAAAGGACATTCAGTGTCTGGAAATACCCCTTGCACATTTATTGTACTGTTAGCAATAAATCCCCTGTGATTTCCACTTTTACAACTAAACCTTAACAACTGATAATTTAAAATTAATCGCTACGTATCACTACTGCCAATGAAAATCTGACAGTAACTTGACGTACTAAGGAAAATGAATGTGACTTACAGATGATGCACACCAAGACAAGTGTGACAATAACAGCAAGGGCGACGTCGCACCAAACAGCAGAACAAGACTGGATGATGAATAAACCAGCTGAAAAGATAGAAAAACAGAACAGCATTATATTTATATGAAAATAGACCCCATATGTTTGACACAACAAGTCCTCAAACCTAAACAACAACATTGGTCGCTTATCCATGCCTCCTAGTGACAACGACTACGAAGTCTACATCACGTGGCATTAAACACGTGGTTAACGTGAAACGTTGCAGTTTGGAACGAGCTACACGGTGGCTTGCAAATGAGAAAAGTGGTGCGTGCATTCTGTTGGTTTTCACCCCCTTTACTATCAGCCCCTAAACAAGATCTGGTGCAACCAGTTACCTTCCATAGTCACATAATTACAATACATGTTGTTCAATTTATACTATCATTTGTCTTATATCTATATATTGTTTTTATTAAATAACCATTTCTTATTATTATAATACTCATTTTATTACATGCGTAGGGTTTAGTGTTTTCCTTTCTTGTTGTTCCTCTCCTCTCCTTGAATAATCATTCAAGGTCGGGGAGGATCTCTGTTCCCCAAAACATAGAAACCTAGACTGTGTAAATGATTATGCATCCCTTTGCTCGGGCTAGACACCTTTGGACAAGCGTCATCAGCAATTTACAATATCCACAACTATTTGGGACCCCAGATGGGACGGACAATGGATTCTCTGTTGAAGGACAGAAGCCAGCTTATCTAGGAAAAATCCTCCCTACAAGGAGAAGCTGTGTTCAGAGGAGCCCTGATCTTTGCTCTGTCCCTGAGAGAAAGGGGAAAGAACTTACACAGTGAGAAATGAATAGATAATTGAGTGAAAGACAAAGACAGTGAGGTTGAATAGAGTGAGGGAAGTGTCAGAGATCTTGCAGCTAAAGATTTGCAGAACCTCTATCCACTCGTAAACTTACAATCGCATCCAGAGTGAGACTGAATCAATGAGGCTCGTGGACAGACGTCTCCTGGATTCAGCGTTGTTTCTCGGAAACAACACTGATTTTGGTGAAAACAGTGGACTTGACGTGTTCTTACTCATGCATGATGGTTGATGGTTGGAAATACCAAACGACTTCCGGAAGACAGCAAGGAAAGAGATGACGTGCAGGTCTGAATGAGGTCAGTGATATAAGTAGGAGGCAGATTGTGGAGGGCTTTGAATGTTAGTATTGTTAATCATTTGTGAATTGATCCGGCTAATAAGTTAGGTTTGCAGCACTGTAGCCTCAGACTTCACCAAACTCAAACATAAATGTCTGTGTTGACGTCAGGGAAAGTATGGGTAGAGAAAATGTGGGGACCTAAAGTGACTGTATGTGAAGCCAGCTATGAAATTTATGACTGGAAAAAAAAGGAAACATCATAGGACAATTTAAGTGGACTAAATACATGTTTGGTGAGAAGGGAAAAGACAGCTGCAGAAGAGTGATCAGCATTATCCAGAGGAAAAAAGGAAAAGAAACCCGAAATTCAGATTGATGTATGAAGACAAGAATTGACGGAAAGGAAAGCTCAGAACTGAAAGTTAGACTAGATAAAGTAAGGATCACAATGAAACTGATAAAAGGAATAACAAGAACAAATGAACTGATTATATCTTCTTTAACCGAGGTACACAATACACAGAATCCATTCTGGCTAATCCAGTACTAGACTCCCCTCCTCCTTCTCCTCCTCCTCCTCCTCCTCCAGTATGCTCCAGTTTCAGATCCAGTCCAGTAAGAAGACTATGCAGAGGGGAAAACTGCTGCTGAAATCTGACAGAGCGACAGAGACGTAAGAAACCAAGAATTAAAGACCTACTACTGGTGCACAGAAGGAAATGTGCTGCGGTCCAGTTAAAGTCCGATAAATAATAATAATAATAATCTTTATTTGTAGAGCACTTTTCAAAAACAAGTTACAAAGTGCTTTAACAAGTGTAAAGACAATAATACAAAAACAATACAAGATAAAAGCATGAAAACATTGAAAAGACTAAAATACACGTTTAAGATAAATATAAAATGAGTAAAATAGAATAAAATAAAAGGGATAAAATAAAGTCAAATAAGATCGGGAAAGGCTCTCCTATAAAAGTATGTTTTAAGAAGGGACTTAAAAGAGTTCACTGACTCAGCCGACCTGATTTCCTCGGGCAGGCTGTTCCAGAGCCTCGGGGCCCTGACAGCAAACGCTCTGTCCCCTTTAGTTTTCAGTCGAGACTCTGGAACAGACAACAGACCTCTGCCCGAGGATCTCAAGGTACGTGCTGGTGTGTATGGGACTAAAAGGTCAGAAATATAACAAGGCGAGAGGCCATGAAGAGCTTTAAAAGTGATCAATAGAATTTTAAAGTCAATTCTAAAACATACTGGGAGGTATTGAAGTGTAATGAAGCTAAAATAGGAGTAATGTGTTCATATTTCTTTGTTTTGGTTAAAAGCCTGGCAGCTGAGTTCTGGACAGTCTGGAGTCGATCAGTAGATTTTTGGGTTAAACAGGTGAAACGGCTGTAATAATAATCCAGGCGTGATGAGATGAAGGCGTGTAAAATGGTCTCAGTGTAAAGAGACATTGGCAAAAGATTTTCCTTTATTAATCACCATCATTACCATCATCATGTACTTCACTCCAGCCAGACAAGATGGAAAACAGTCTGAAATATGCTGAGTACAGGAAAGGACAATGCACAGTCCAGAAATACCATCACTGGTGGTTGACGAAGTCCATAAAGAACAGAATGAATCATTCATGTGACCATCACCTTCAGACTACAGCGATGTGAAACAAAATGTGATGAGACCCTTAAAAGTTCAGAGCCGGATTAGTCCAGGAGTAAGGAAGAGCTGTGTCCCAGCATGGAAAACAGGCAGCATGAAAAAGCATGCTGAACATACAGAAGTACAGAGGATCAATGCGAAGACAAAGCAAGAAGACAGACTGTCAAAAGAAACTGATTGGTGCGGAACAATTAAGCCCCCCTGGTACAAGGAAACGGACAGTACAGGGGTAGAGGGTGAAGCAAAGGGAAAAGTAGGCGTTGGAAAAGAGATTTTGCACAAAACAGACTGACAAGAAAAAAAGTGGAAAAAAAAAAATGGACCAAGCTGGGAGGGGGGAAAAGACACACAGCAACAGGATGCAGACAAACAGTCACACCGGGTGAGTCACAACCTCTCACAAGTGGAATCTTAAACACACTGAACATAAAATGAATACCATATGAAGGTATTGTTACAACCCAGCTCGTTAGGGTAGGGCAGTAACAAGGTATTTGGGTTAAATTAAGGTGGTAAGGACAACTGAAATCAGGTTGAGTCGAAGTTTAATTAAATGAGTTGTCTCCAAAAAAAACACAACAAAAGGAGGCTATGTAGGTACTGACAAAAAAAACACTTAACAAAAGGAGGTCAGTACCTACATGCTGTACAGGAATGTAGTGTAACCAAACAAACAATTTTCCCCCTTAAAGGGTGCCACTCACAATCTAGTTTACAAAGGTTTTTACTGACAAGAGTCACTTAAGCCGGCAACCAACAAACAGATCAGATCAGATTTAAACACTCGAGACATTCACAGGGGTACACAACCAACAACAAGGCGAACTGATCACTGGCTCACAGTCGCCTCGAAGTGCAGGAACACAAACTATTTGTAGGCCAGCTGGTGTTGATTGGTGAGTTCTGGTTGGCAGGTTCGGTAGGCTCCTCGGCCACACCAATCAGACGCTAGCAAACAGCAACCAGGAAGTGGGTGGTTCCAGGTCCAGGGGAACCAATCCTCGACAGGTGCTTGCCGTGGGGATTTGCATACAGCTCAGAGAACTCCAAAACACAACTACTCTAAGGCAGCCAGCGGCGGCCGTAACAGTATTAGTAAGTCAATCTAAACTTGTACCAGCCGACATTTGTAATGAATAATGAGCACAAAGGGTTCAGGAAATTATCAGAGTAACTGTGCTTACACCTAGCAGGTGACAGTGTTACATTGTCTGTTTAAAGCTGCCCGAGAAGAGAGGCCGATATTAAAATATGGTATCATGTGCTATGTGACTTTGCTAACTTAACTTAACACTTATTTCGGTAATCAGAGCACTGGGAATGACGAGAGAGTGTGATATATTTCTATTTATTGCGACATATTATCTGGACAGAGGGAGCTGCCGCTGTTGTGTTGTTTCTTTTTCTCTTTCTGATCTGAGCTGCTTCAAAGCGTATATCGATACAGAACAGAATGAGAGTTTAAAGCCACACAATGTCTAATTTTATTAGGATGTTTTGAAGATTCAGCATTACCCATTTTTGATTCACTGTTACGGGCTGTGATGACTCGTCTGCATGCACCCCCTTTTTTCCAGTATTGGAAAATCTGTGAGGAAGGCCAACCAACAGAGCCACAGCGTGGTAGAGTGTTATAGACCAACTAGCAGTAAATGGAGCTGTGCATCCGCGAGCACTAAAGGTCTAAAAATGTTCACGCAAACCTGTTATTGATTTCATCAAATGCCACACATTTCTCTGTTTCTGATTCGGCAAAGGCCTGGTTTAAATTTTTTACATCAACCACACTGCTGGTCAGTTTCGTTCTGCTGTCCATCACAAGAAGCATGCTGAGATGACCAGGGTTTGCTAAAGTGGTCAGCTCACAATGGCCACACACAAGGCTAATCTGTCTCAATTGCAATTGAAACAGACAAACAGACAGGATAAACCTGGGCATCTTATATCTATATATTGTTTTTATTAAATAACCATTTCTTATTATTATAATACTCATTAGATTACATATGTAGGGTTTAGTGTTTTCCTTTCTTGTTGTTCCTCTCCTCTCCTTGAATGATCATTCAAGGTCAGGGAGGATCTCTGTTCCCCAAAACATAGAAACCTAGACTGTGTAAATGATTATGCATCCCTTTGCATCTTTCCTTCCCACTGCGTACAAGCCTTTCCAACTATTCCAAAACTAATCACCATAAAGAGGTGATGATGATTTTCTAGACACGGGACACTAATTATTAAAGATGAATATCTCTCCCATGATTCATGGTGAAAACAGTGCA